AAGCAGGGTTCAACTGTTCTATAATTTGCTCAAACTGTGACAATAGATGTGATGACATGCCTCAAGCATTGGAAGGTAGTGATAACGATGAAGACACTGATTCGATCTTAGAACCACTGTGTAATGAAATCGATACAGAAAGTAAAGAAGAAGCTACTGTTGGAGAAGACTTGATCCCATACGACTCGTTGCCTTCAATTATCAAAAACATTGTTCATTTGTCAATTAATGTGTGGATTAGGCCTACTGGGGAAGCCACAGAAGAAAATGCGCTATATACTCTGGTGGTGTGGAAATGGGTACCTATTACTTTTCATTGCACGTTAAATGGTGACCTTTGTTAGTCTCCTACCCAAAACGTGTCGGTTTTATGAAGAAAGTGGTTAGAACCTATTTTGTAGCAAATTTCTTGGTCTTTAATTTGTTACAAAACTATTTCTGCTGTAAAAGCAACGAGTAACGAGATATCTTAAAAAATCTTTATTTTTTCCCATTTATTACAACATGGCGGCACCGGCAAATGGAAAATTTGAAATGAGAAGCTCAAAATACATAAAATTGCAGAATATCAAAACTTCCTTAAAATTTTCCAATTTACAACACGTAATTACTGGACTATATTTTTATAAATTCAATATTAAAAAATCAACAAAAGAAATTATGGACCGTAACTTTGAATGAAGGTCATACTTATACGAAGAAACACATTATCATTATTATCTAGTTTTCTTCCATCGTGAAAACTGATTTTCTCTTAACCCTTATTTCGTAGTTTCCATACCCCACCCTTGAACAAGCTAATGTAATCTGAAACAACCGCGTGCGCTAGCTGCTAACCGTGAGCTTGACTCTATATGTACATGCTTTTTTTTCATATCATACAGAAATGTAACATCGATGTCACAAACACAGCGTACCTTCACTAAATACAGAAATAAAAAAAATTATAATGTTATGCACAAAGACGTTTCACAAAATTCTATTTCGATTCCAGTAAAAACATATTTCATCCAGAAAGCACTGAAGTTACCTAAAATGTATTAAAATGAAGCGATTGCGTTTACGCTACTACGCTATTAAGCAGCCTTTGAAAAACAATGATAGTATTTTTTTGAGCTATTAAAACCGATTAAAGGGGTTAAAGGGTTTTATTTTTAAATTAAAAATGTCTTTAGATGTTTTTTAATACATATTACAGTTTCACGGCAAATCTATTTTCCTATTTTGCAATGCATTATACAAAGCTATTTTGGTGGAATATGTTACACTAATTTTTTTTTTAAATCGCGTTAGCCGTAGAAAAACAATGCTAACAAGTTTATTTGCAAATTTCCATTAGTCGGGGTAAAATTAAAAATTTATTTTTATTCTTAATCACACTGTATCTTGAAACATTGTTGAAAACATTTTCAAGAGAAATATACTCCCGGGGTCGGTTTCAATTTGACTCACCTTAAACATAATACGGTTTTATTTATTTGAATTACATTTTTCTGTCCTTATATATTATCAATCAAAATGTGTGATTATAAAACATTTATGTAAATTGACAACTAACTGTTAGAATGTATTATAACATGACATCTAGAGTTGAGGTTTCTGACATACTTATGTCAAACAACTGTATAAAATAATTGGCAATTAATTTTAGTTATTTGAGGCCACTCGCAAAAAATGATTTATACAGTGTATTTCACTTAAAGTCGGCACACCTCCGTATTTAGGATGGCGTTGTATATGGTAGTGCTCAAAAAGGCCTACTTTTTGATATTATATTTTTTGACGTGATGCTTTCCACGGCCTACTATCATTAAGAAAAGACCCTCAAAAATAAAAAAATAGATTAGGCATTCTTTAAAGAAATAAAATGATAGCATTTTCGATTTGATCACACCTCAAAACCCTAAATACAAAGTTTCATTATTATAGCTTTTACAGGGTGTTCACAAAATAGGTGCAAACTTCGAAACATTTCACTTATTGCAAAGTGTCCTGTATTAACAGTGAAAAATATTTTCAAGGTATATCCATGCAGTTTCATTGATTTTACTCATACAGGATGCTCACAATAGGACAGCCAAATTATCTATATCTTTTATTATAAGTACCAGAAATGAGTTTCACAACGAAATAATATTTAAATATGTATTACTATTTTCTATTAGTCCATCATTCACTCTTCAATTCGTCTCCTCTTATTTTTAATAACTTTTCTCAACTGATGTAGTGTTATTTGTCGACATGCTTGTCTAATTATATTACATAAATCTTAATTAAAAATTTAACGTGTTTTTCAGGATTTTATGTGATCAAATAATTAGGCCCTTCTTTTTTTGCGTTAATCTAAACGCGAGATTTTTATGAATTTTTTAAATAATGATTTCTGGGATTCAGTACATGTATTTCCTCTTCATGTAAGACAGAACCTCTACCTTCAATTATATGGAGCACTTATTCATAATGCGGTAATAGTAGNAAACTAGCAATCCTGAGGCTATTCTGAGGATTGTTTGTAAAATAATTTAAAATTTCCTGCTCGTGAATACGTCTTCTCTGTTGATTGTCCCTTTTTAAAATGCATTTTGATACAGCACCATATTCCATAAAAGTATTGTTTATTTTAAAAACTGTGCTATGCGTAATTATAGGTCTATCTGGATGTCTGTTGTTAAAAATTATACACACCTCTCTTGCCGTCCGATCATTTTCTCCAGAAAGGTGTAATATTTAAATTTTGTCATGTAAAGTTAAACTTTGAGCCATCGCAAAGAATTATGGAACTTATTTAACCATGCACAAAAAATATTACAATGTGCCACTACTTGTGAAGTTTGACATTTGTTGTCTAAACTTCTATTTTTCACAGCCTATCAAATTTTGTTCATATCATTTTTAGGCAACGTTATTTTCTGGAATATTTTTTTCAGAAAATTCTTCACAAATAATTGGATTATGGTTGTAGAATCCAGTGGCTTTTTGAATAAAAAAATTATAAATGTAATTATTTTTGTCTAAGAAGGTAATATTTGTAAGTTTTGGCATAATAACCACGAAATAATAATAATTTGACGAACTTGTTGTTTATTTTTCGTATACTAGTTTTTATGATTCTTAATAATAATGATTAAACCAGTGTTTGTTATTTAATTTTGTTTCCATTTAAAAGAATAGGTTCACCAACAAACTGTTTTTCGCAAAAATTGGTACGAATGCATTTGAGCGGTTCCTAAATCCAGTGGTGTAGTCAGATTTTTTATAAAAATATCGCTAACAAAATTTTGCTATTTTTCACTTAAAAAAAATTCGTAGTAGGCCTTGAAAATCAAAATTTCGTCTTCAAATTTTGCATCAAGATAGAGCTTTTGGAGATCTATCTTTAAAAAAAACCCGGATCAAATCGGTCCATAAACAACTGTTGTACGCGAGTGTTTCCATTCTTAATGGGTCACCCTGTAGAAATTAATTAATTTTTTTGAAGTTTTGAAATAATGTAGGAGGTGGGTAGCACAAAAAGTACACTTCTAAGAGGGGTAGGTGGTTCAAACTTAAGAAGCTTATGTAAGATCATAAGGAGTGTTTGCGTACCGAATTTCACCTCAATCGGATGAGTGGTTCAAAAGTTCTGAGGGAAAAGCGGGAAAAAAATATATTTCAACGCACTCTTATCTCCGAAACGATGCTATTTAGGAAATAAGTTTATATCATGAATGAACGTTATTTTAGCCTGTTCTAACGATTCCTGAAGTTATCCAGATTAAACCTGAATCATCCTGTAAAACATATTATCTTTACTTTAAGAAAACTTTTCTGCCTGCACGAATTATAAAAAAAATGTATTATGATTAAAATGCCTTTAATTCTTTTAAGAATTGCATTTTACTCTTTGCGGGTTTGTTCCTTTGCAATGAAAAATTATTCCATCAAAAACAGTTAAACATCAAACTTAGGATAAATATTTGCTGATGCGTTAATTTCACAGACCTTCTACCTAAGTATATCCTAATTATAAACACGAAAATGAGAAATGAGTCGTTCGCTTTGATCTTTGATCAACCTCCGTTTTTTCCATCCGGGCAAAGTGGATTATATCAGCATACCTCTATCCCGGCCCTTCCGCTAAAACTTCATTCCTAATGAATTTTACGTTTTTGATATTTTATGCCACGCCGTATTCCTGAGAGAGATACGAGGAGAATATCAAATAATCTATCAAGCATTGTCGAATTCGCATCCACCTAGTACACTTCAAAAGACCTAAAAGTTTGCACAATGCAATATTACTTTTATAGAAGTTTTGTATTTATTTTCTCTATAGACATGCTAAGGGATTATAAAACTTTTGTGTTCTCCTCCAACAAAACCGGCATTATGATGTATTTTCGTTCCGCATAAAATATCTCCCTTAAAATTTCATTTCGGATAAAAATTCTGATATTACATTCAGCCTGCTGAAATGTGAATTATGTTGCCGGCAGATGTAACAGATTGTTGGGACGAATTAAATTACATTTTCTATTATTTTCGTAACAAATGTCAATCTGTGTTGTCAAGAAATTAGCCCTGCCCTTTTCTGACGGTAGGCGTATCCATTTCACGCTGCGAGATGAAAATACATAAATATCGAGTTTATTTCTGAAAATGTTAGCTGTTATGTAGCTGTAAATCAAAGTGAATAATCAAATTGATGATTCTACATAAGGAGATAGGAGAATTTTTATTTAAGACGTTGTAGAAAATGAGAAGGCGTAATTAATGAGTTAGGGAATATATCCGCTTTTTTTCAAAGGACCCCGCACAAACCTTATGCAAATTTATCCCCGGTGGATCTCTCTAAAATTTTGGGAATGAACTCTTCAGACCATCCTGATCAGAAGTTCTCATGGGCACAAAACCCGGAATCCGCTTCCAACCCTCCAAAATCACCCCCAAAGGTAAGGGGCTCATTATACCACACCACCAAAAAAGTATCACACCAACAAATTTAATATATAGTTTCTGGTTTATTTTTGAGCGCTGGACACGAATACGTCATCATTTTTGCTCTTGCACGTATCAGTCTTCAGCAAATCGCTGAAGAAGCTTGCGATATCTAGTTTCTGGTCTATTTTTTGGTCTGATACTTTTTTGGTGGTGTGGTATAGTGAGCCCCTTAACTTTGGGGGTGATTTTGGGGGGTTGGGAGCGGTTTCCGGTTTTTGTGCCCATGAGAACTTTTGATGAGGATGCTCTGAGGAGTTCATTCCCAAAATTTGAGAGAGATCCACCGGGGATCCATTTCCATAAGGTTTGTGCGGGGTCCTTTAAAAATCCACATCAAAATTAAACGCATTGCCAAATGGACACGTCATTCGAAAGATAATTTATTGCTCTATCGGACTGTGTTTTTGGTTGCTTCGTTAGATTTAATGTTTGTGAATTTCCATTCATTTCAAATGAAATGTCAAGTTGATAAAATTGATCATTTTCGGTACTTGCTTCTTTTTGTTTTAAATCGAGACGGAGAAAACGGTAAGCCTCAAGCTGCTTGGGAATTTTTTTCGCGTTTTAAGGAAGGTAATTTCAACCTTAAAGGCATGAATCGTTCCGGTCGCCCTGTTGAATTTGATGAAGAGCAATTGAATTAGCTCCTTCACGAAAACCCAAGACAATCAAGAATGGAATTGGCTCAGGAGATGGGATGTGACCACAAAACGGAAGTAAACCTTCTGCATTCAATGGGAAAAGTTCACAGACAATGCATGTGACATGTTTTGAACGGAAACAATAAGAATCAACGCTCTGCAATTGCCGCTGGTTTGGTCTTTTATCATCGAGCAACACGTGGTCATAAGGAACGTTTTCTTCATCGTATTGCGACTGGTGATGAAAAATGAACATGAGACAGCGGAAAGAATGGTAAGCACCAAAAACCAAGCACCTCCGCGAACAAGACCAACACTTCATCCTCGAAAGACAATGTTATGCATCTGTTGGGTTTGGAAAGGGATTCTTTATTATGAACTCTCGCCAAACAATCAAACCATCAACGCAGAACTCAATGTCCAACAACTACGGTAACTCCGCGCGGGTATTCACCTTATTTTGCAGTATGACAATTCTCATAAAACAGCCATTCGGAAGTAGAATTGAGCAGTTCATTTCATTACTCTGTTTTAAGTTTCTCTTGACTGACCGCAGTATGTTTGTGTACGTTTCAGAATGTGACAGCCGACTCTGTAATTTAATAAAATATTCATAGAATTTCTTTTATAATCAAATTCTGTAGCTAAAATATGCAGAATATTTCAGAAGTATAGTAAAATTAGGCAATACCTCTGTTATAGCGTTAATACTTTCCCTACATCTAGTTACCTGTAAATGATCTCTTGTGTTGTCTCAAAGGTAATTCTTCGCCCAATTTTTACCAAAAATTATATTTTTACCGAAGAAAAACAAACAATCGTACAATTTCAATTATTTCGTCAATCACTTTTTATCATTAAACCATCCAAAAGGAGTTTATATTTGATTCCAATAATTATAACATTGGTTTAAAGGTAGGAGTGTGATAACGTTTCTCCGGGTACATATAAAAAAATATATAAACTTTACATTCTAGTATATTTACAAAATGACTGATTTAACCGTTTGTTTCAGGTTTTCACTTAAGTGGCGTCGTAACAGCTTGCCGTTCTTCACCAACAGCAACGTTACCCTGTGGAGCGTCAGAACCGCCACAAAAATTTAAAGTCTCTGTTAGTTTCGATAGGTAAGTTTTTTCCTAATTAATAATCATCTAATTTTTAAAATACTGTTCTTCCCCTTTTTTTTGGAAAGTAATTTGAGGCATTATTAAATATTGTACTTCTGTGATTTCTTTTTTTTTTTTCTTCTTTAGAATAAATGAAGTCTTTTTTTTAATCAATTTCAGACAACATAGCAAAAGAAGTAAATAGCTCACCTGTAAAAATCATGGCTCTTTAGGGTCTCCTAGTTTCAGAGGTTTGGATATATCTCAAAGTTGTTTTAAAAATCATTAAGTTGACATTGATATCTAATTGTGATGTTTAAAGTCCCTCTCTTACAAATAGTTTTTTTTTTCTTATTAGAGTTATTTACTCTATTACTTTTCTGTGTGAATTAATGATAGATAATATTATATCTAAATAATAATAAAATGGGTTTTGAGAAAATTTGCATACTTGTGTTGATCACATGGACTAGTTATATAGTTAAAATTTAAATTCCTTTAAGTTCGGTAGAGTAGAAGATTCAGGTCATTGATATATTCTGAAAATCGGAAGTATTTTATTAAATCTGAAGATGGTCATGCAGATCTTCAGAAAAATAGTACTTTAGAAAAGTAATTTCTTAGGGTGGTTTCGTATGAGGCAGAATTCTCTTTTATCTTATTAGATTTTACTCAGATGTGCTTCATATTATCTTACAAATGTTAAGTATTCCTTCTAATTGCTTTAATATTTGCATTTAATTTATTTTATGCATATTGGATAGAAATTTTCATAGATTTATCACGATCAAGGCAGAGGGGATGTAAACGCTGAAGATATAATTTCACTGAGAGTTAACTTAGAAACCAGTTAGGAAAATGCTTAACAGAGTGTCTGTCTTAAGTCTTTTAATATTGATACATTTCGTCAGTCAAAAGTCAAACTCTACTATTATTTGAAAGATCCATCGATTAAAAGCGAATTCCCACAAAATAAAATCGGATTTTGGGAAATAGCAGGGATTTTTTAAATCTATTGCTGTATCTGTTTTACCACTTGATTAGTTCAGTTTGGTGAAATTGTCCAAACTAGAAGTGACCATGATTTGAACTAACTATAGGTTAAACAAAACACACATCTACTCCATTTTAAATTTTGACTTTTTGACGTCTATTCAATTTCAGTTTAATTAGGTTGTTGCTATCAATCATACTGTGCCCAACATACTTACAATCAACATATCTTCTTCGGATGAATCCATATCCATTATTATTATTTGTAGGTTATGTTTTGTTCGGTGATCTTGTTCATTTACTAACCACGATATTAGGCTAGGTTAGATCGGAAAGGGAGGAACTGATTTTGGTGGTTTGTTCACTTGTTTAAAAAAAAAAACGAACTTGGTCAAAACTCTACTGAAAGTGAATTAATCAAAGTGACCAAGTGTGTAAAACAAATATAGCTCATGTCATAACTTTAGGATGTCGTTCCTTGGATCATTTGACTAAAAAGCAAAAGTCCAAAATTTTTTTGAAACTGTGCCTCTTCGGTATTCAAGATAATTAAAACTAGCTTTCTTACTTTTGATGGTTATATTTTAATTAAAATTTAATTTGTGACAATAAATTATATATTGAGATGAAATCAGACATGAAAGAGCAAATTAAAATTTAAATCAAATGTCTATTTAAAAGACAAAGCAGTAAATATAATGGTTTGAAATGGTTATTATAAAATTAAGAAAATATTTGAAAAAATAAATTTTATTGTTAGTATTGAATCAGTAGTAGGAATCATCGGTTTATTAGAATAGGATAAATTTCAAAATTCAAATAGAAAATTAATTATAAATTTGTTCAGATAAAGCATATGCCAAGAAATTGTTAATAAAAAAAAATAAATAAAAATAATTCAAATTCATACCGATATCTAATAAAAGTTAAAATGTTAGAGTGTTTATAAATAGTTATAATATATGGTATAATACTAATTAGGAAAATATATTAAGGTTCAAAAAAAAAGTTGTATATCAATAAATCAATATGTCAAAGAAATGTCAAAAATTAAAGTGGGATTCACATGGAATCAAGTAGTAAATAGAAAAGTAATATAAGAGTAGAGAATGAGAAATATTTTGAAGTAGAATGTAAATGAGATTGTTAAGAAACTATAATAGGGCATAAGTGTAAAGGTTAAGTGAAGTGAGGTGAGTGAAAAAGAAAAAAATGGCAAGTAAAAAGAAAGCAGAATCAGATATGTGAAAAGACCTTAACAGGGGAAGAACCAAAATCAAGGTAGTGAGAAAAGAAAAATAATTATTGATTAGTTAAAAAAAAAAAAATTGGGAGAAAAGTCAAATATTATAGAAAGACAATAAAAGAACACGGAATACAAGTCGAAGCAGCAAAAAGAAAACGAACTATACGCATAAGCAGCAGAGAGAAAGCGGAAAGCCAGCAGCCGAGAGGAAGAAATACAATCACAGGCGAGGTCCAGGAAACCAGATAAATAAGAGGCCAGAGTAGCAGCATCAGTGGCAGGTCCCAGGAAATTCCTCAGAAAACGGTATAGCAGATAGTGTCCAAACAACTACCGAAACCGGAAAGGAAAGGAAATAAACATATAATCAGTATATAAATGAAAAGGTACCAATTTTTAATTGTCGTATACAGTTTGTGCACAAATTAACAGTAAAATTCGTTTGAAAATCTTGATAAATTCAAAATCAATCATTTGAAACAAATTTAAGTCAGTGATATATCAAGCATCATCAAAATTTTTGGCCAATTATTTAAATTTGTAGATAGTAAGATTAGATATAAGGAGGAGCATATTAAAACAAGAAATTACACGAGAAAATATAAATTACGTCCAAAAAAGCAACCAGTAATACAGTAATTTAACCAGATCGAAATAAATTCTTGTTTTAATTGGTCAAAACATTGTAAGAACTTCAAAATATTTGATAATTTGTGTGACATTTCTAATTTGAAATATTGATATACCAGATAAATATTAATAAATTAATTTAAACATCTATTGTTTTAAGTTGTTAGTTTGCATGGTTTCTGGAAGAATAATAGTTTGAGTTGAACCGACTACTGAGCAGGGTCTAAAGCTAGCAGGGCAAAGGTATACAACCAACACTACACTAAAAATCAAAATTACAGGTTACACAAAAATTAAATTTAAAATTAATTTGCCGCTCATATAAACACATAAAAAAATCACATAACTTAACCATAACAATATATATATATATTTACGAAATGAGCAGATTTATTTTACTACATTGAATATACTATATACTGAATCCGCTTTTAACCGAATGAATCTTTTAAATAATTGTACAGTTGCACGAACTCTGACCGATGAAATATGTGGAAATCCCAACGCCCGACTTCTTTGATATTTGTGTATGCTCATCCTTTACAAAACTTTGGAAGTGTCTGGATGTGCTTCGACGTCTGAAGGATTTTGTCAATTCATCTAAAATTTACACGCCATAAAGCACGAGTTCCGATGTACAATTTAAGTTTTTATCTGCCAAAGATATAACATGTTCGGGCTGAGCCAGAATCTTTTATA